ACTTTTAATTGTGATGATTTTGGCTCACATTTAACAAAAACCCACCAATTCACTTTGGCTGTGTCCGAAATCGCCCCCTATACCCTATTCACTATTCCCTACATTAGGTCACTAATTCAGTTCACTAGAGGAGTGAATGAAAACGAGTGAGTGAATTCGGACACTGAGTGCACCGGAAGGAATGCCGCTTTTGCATAGTTTGTGCTTGCTGTTTATTAATCATTCGAAACTAGCAAACTAGCAGCGGTAGTAAGATTAAAGGATTTATTTTGAACTCTGTCACGGAAATTATGTATAAACCCTAATCAAACAATTTAATAATCAATTTACAATGAATTCATACCCGTGTTGTACATTATGCTGTAAGCCATGGATGAGCCCTTTGTAAAAATGAACGGATTGATTATTCAGCTGCGGGCGCCATCTTCTGGTGAGATGCGGGAATTCATTCGGCACGTGACTCTCACGGTGCATTATGGGCATTCTCTAGCCGTTGAGCGTGCACCAGTTGTACACTCGTTTTTGCAGTGCATTGTGGGATTGAATGAGTGCACTCGAGAACGTCCACTATGGTTTCGAACACCACTAAAAATGGCTGTTCACCTCAAATAGTGCCCTATTTAAGGGTATAGGGGGCGATTTCGGACACAGCCAAAGTATCACATATTCCAAAAAAAATATTAAGCAGCACAACAGTTTCCAGCACTGATAATAAATCAGCATATTAGAATGGATCATGTGACACTGAAGACTGGAGTAATGATGCTGAAAATTCAGCTTTGCATAACAGGAATAAATTAGATTTGAATGTATATTAAAATAGAAAAACTTTATTTTACATCATACTTTACATAAAACAATAATATAGTGCTCCAATCCGTTCTTATAATAATGACATAAAATACAAAACACTTATGCAAGCGAATGCCCACAGCTAAAGTTTAGCTGCTAAAGTGTGAACACTTAAAACAATAATGGTGGATACGTTAGCCAAGTGCTAACGTGACTAACTGATGAAACAATACAGTTTGTAAACCAAAATATGTCTACTGTAATGTTTGAAGAACGACTTCTTTAAAAAACATAAAAAATCTTACTGTTCAAAAACTTTTGACTGGTAGTGTACATTTGTATGAAATATAGGTTTATTAAATCTAGTGTATTTAAGTCATTTTAAGATAAACAACATTCTTTGCTAACAAATTGAAATGAGGTGAATGTTTTCAACAAGGTGAAGAAGTGACAGGTAAGAAAAAGTAAGGGGGGGGGCAGAGATATTGGGGAAATTGACTAAGAATGACGGCCCCAGACTAAGGATTTAGACCTTTATTTTATGTGATGCCATACAAATAATAGGGTTGTCTGTGGTTTCAGAAATTGTTGTGGATGTATAGGCTATATACTTTATATTTTCTGTGTGGCCTGGATGAGTGTGAGATTTCCCGGCCTGAAATTGCGTCCCAGTCCGGCCCTGCACACAACAAAAGGTTCGAATTGTATTTCTGTGGTATCCTTGAACACAGCGTCTTCTCAACATGATGTAAACACACTAACTAGCGGAAGTGTTTGTGGGCAGGTCAGACTCTGTGTGTTCGTATTTCGCGGGCAGGCGGGGATTATGCAAATGTGTTACCCAGCGACTCATTTGAGAGACAGTGGCTGTGTCCGAAATCGCCCCCTATACCCTCATTCACTATTCCCTACATTAGGTCACTAATTCAGTTCACTAGAAGGAGTGAATGAAAACGAGTAGTGAATTCGGACACT